TTCAAACTGTGAGCCTGCCACCCTACGCTCGGCAAACAACAACTCTTTCTCTTAAAAGCAGCGTCCAGGCAGATCTGGACCTATGGGGCTTTTACGTGGAAAGTACTTTTGGGCCTAACTAAGGCACTGCCCAAGCGGCAGCTCAGGTAGTGCTCTAATGGCTGAAATACTCCCCTCGAAACTGGCCCCCGCGAACGTATTCGCATGGATTCATGGCAGTTTCGCGCCAGGATCCACGCTTTGCGCAATGAATCCATGCGAAACACGGTCGCGGGATCCAATTTCGAGGAAAATATCTCAGGCGTTAGGGCACTACCTGAGCTGCCGGTTGGGCAGTGGCTTAGTTAGGGCCCCAAAAGTACTTTCCACGTAAAATCCCCATAGGTCCAGACTTGCCTGGACGGTGCCTTTAACTCCGCAGTAAAACCTTCTTATCATTACAAACTCTGCTGACTATTTACAAAACCCACAAAAAAATAAACATTGAGCAGGTTCAATCTTATAAGCCGTTGAGTAGCGCACATGAAGTGCATATAAGTTACGAATGGCTCGAGGATTAGCAGCCCTTTTTTGCGGTAGCTAACAGCTCGAGACTTCCTAAAGAGGCTGTACGCTTTTATGTGCTCTTCCTAAACATATATAGGGTGTCAAAAAATGTGCCTATCGATTGAAGATTGGACTTGCACAATTTTTGTTCTTTTGTGGGTTTTGTAAATAGTCAGCAGACCTTACTCCTGAAGTTTGTATTGATGAAAAAGGTTCTACTGCGGAGTCAACAGAAAGGGTTGTTGTTTGCCGAGCGTAGGGTGGCAGGCTCACAGTTTAAAGCAGTGATTCGAGAAAATTGCGACTGCGAGCTTTTCACACCTATATGGCCTTCATGATGCCTTCTTCTTGAGCGATTGAACAGATTTGATTAACGTTTTGTACAACCTGTCACGGTGGAATTTCAACGAAGTATGCGGTCTTTACATTGTGGGCAAAATGCATGAGGACGTGTTTTCGTAGACTCGTAACTCGGCGATTTCTATAGACTAGAGCTTGAGGCATGCACCGTTCGATGGCACACTTCCTAATTACTTTAACCTTTATAAGCAGTCAAGCAGGTTTTCTGACAGGTACGCGAGAGGTGCAGGCGAATTTACGAGCTTTATTTACTTACAGTTACCTCACCGTATCTCTCCAAAAAGACCTTGTAATCCCAGAGACTACGATTTTCGTAAAGAGCGTGTTCGAAAACCTCTATAAGCGAAGTTTCCTTACAATTCAGAAGTATCAACATTTTGACCAAAATCCATCGGCGAGCTTCCAGAGCCTAAAACGGGAAAAAATGAAATAACCCGAACATCTCGGAAAACTTGCTCATAGAGGTTATTTGACCTGCTGATTACGATAATCACACAGAAGAGCTTCGTAATCTAGGGCTATGGCGAATAGAATTTGTGACGACAAGATTTTTCCACAATTCACCAGCCCTTCTATTTCCTTTAAAAAGAAATCTGCGGATACTGTTTAGTGCATCATAATCTACAGAACAATGCTATCGAAAGGTCCTTGCCGGAATTTACTCGAGATAATGCTCGCTGCTTTACACCTTCGCGAAGAGACGTCCGCGGAAAGTTTCAAGAATATTGAAATCGAGATATCAAGGACATGCTGTACAAGAAAAGATTCGCCTTGATGAGCTGAGCACAGTACTGTTTTCGGATTCAAAATATACTTATTCCGATGGAAGTTATGGCAAGTAGAATCTAAAAACGCGTGATTTTTCCAGAATTCACCGGCGCTCCTACCTTTTTTGGAAAGAAGTCTGCGGCTACTACTTAGCGCACGATAACCTACAAGAGCAATGCTATCGAATGTTGCTTACTGGAATCTTTCATAATACACAGACGCTGCGTTATATTCTTGCGAAGGGACCTCCACAGAAAAATTCGAGAAAACTGGAAACGGAATATCGAGGGCATGCAGCATATCAAAAGATTCGCCTTAACGATCTAAACATAATGCTGTTTCCTGATTTAGAATATATTCATTCCGAAGGAAGTTATGGTGCTGCGTATTTGCGTGAAATCGTTATTTCGCGGATTCCTGGAGTGTCGTGAGATTCCCAGAATGTCGCGGACTTGAGCTTAAATCCCGGAATTCCGCGAAGTTTCACGGAGATTTTGCACATTCTGTGAGCGGTATTGTGATCTTGAGCAGATCTTAGAACAAATTCGATCAGTGTGACTCTCTACCATACTCCTCCGATATACTTTCTATTTGTCATCAGCGATAAATCAACGGCATCACAGTTGTCCGACTGAACAATCCAACCAAATAAAAAACTGCAAAACTGAGCGGAAACTTACTGTCTAGCGTATACCTATCATATCCTGCTATATTGTGGCACTCTTCTATACTAGATGATGCGTCTCGCCGAGCTGAATCGAATGGTGTCCTCGGATTCAAAATTCGTCCATTCTGAAGCAAGATATGGCGATGCGACGCGGATTCCGACGGATTCTGGTGGAGTGTGGCACACTTTGCCGCACTCCGGCGGACTCTAGTGGAGTGTGGCGCACTCTGCCGCTCTCTATTAGATGCGTCACACTCCGGCGCATTGCAGCGCATTGACGGAGCGCGCTGCAGTCCGGCGACTTTTTTGACGAATTATGCGCGGTATTGTATTCCACTGAATGTGACAGCATCTATCCTACGCACATCAGATCCAAAAAGACACTTGCGCAGCCACAGTCGACCTCAATCCGGTATACATCATGAAAACTGAAGGCAACGAAAATGAAGAAGAACTTCGTAGATTGATGTCTCATCGCACATCTGCTTCACCTTTGCAGAAGAAGAAATGTATTAATTCCATTGCATCACTGTGCTCATGTTTTTAATAAAGTTTACGGTCTTGCACCTGAAGAACTAAAGTCACCCAGTTCACGTAAAAATATGTATAAAAGAATTTGCAATGAACATTCGTTTGAACACCGATAAATACATATTCGAAAATATAAATATGAAATGCATACCAAAAATTCTCAAATGAACGAAGATGATTGCAAGTTACGCCATTTTTGATCACAACATCATGGGTCTCGCGCTAAAGCTCAGATTTTCTCCCGATCTGCATGAATGCGAGAATAAGTTGTCTCGAGCAGTAATCTCCCGATCGAAATACCGATGTCCGGAATTTTCTGTGCGCGCGAGATAACCATGAACGTCTGAGTAGTTGAGTGGGAGCAAATGCGATGCGCGTATCTAGCCGCTGTAAACCCTGTGAATTATGAGCCCCGTAGCTTTGAAAGCGCGTTCATTCCTATAGGTTTTGCACCTTCGTCTGGCAGTTAGAAGATGCGCTCGCGAATGCGGCGAAAGACTCAACGAGGCGGCTTGGTCTTGGCTGTTAGAGGATCTCAAATTGAGACAAAATGTATATTCCTGGCAAAAAATTTCTTTTCTGATCCGGTTCGTATCGAGTTCAAGGCGGGGAGATAGACTACCTATCGCTATTGATTTGATCCATATCAATCTCATAGATTTTTTTTGCTGTGTGATGTAATTACACATGAATTTTGCAATTCCTTTCGCATTTTTCAGCATAAGCGGTTTCCAGTCAAGTTTCTCTGACAAAGCAATGCAAATAACAATTTTTGCATCATTCCAAGGATTACTATATTATCAGACAAAACATCGACAACGTCACGTAATGCTATCATGATTATATGTCATAATAACCGTGCTACGGAAATTACATGTGCATAAAATTTAAGTTAACACTACAACTTTCAAAAAATGAACTTTCGATCGTCAAGCAAAAAGTAGGAGTAGTTGTCTGTTGTAGCCACGAAAGTTCTTGCGTACTATACTATTGCCGAGGTAGAGATACAATACAAAGTGAAAAGAAAGGAAAAAGTAATAAGAATGGCTGAGGTTGCAGAATGTCAATGCCTACCAATCTCATGATGAATTGAAAAATCTGTCCTTAAAACCGAAGCAAGAAAGCATATGATCCAACAGATTTAACAACAATTAGCAACATTATCAGTTGCAACTCTCCACTCTAATACCAATTAGTCTTGACATTTGCTTACGAATAACGATAGAAAAACGATGAAAGAAGCGTTGAGGTTTGTTCGCATCTATCAGCCTGGGAATCTCCTGAGAATGCCTAACTTCCATGGCTTTCTTTCATTTTCCTATTGTTAACAGAAGTTGCTAGCAATGCTGGCTGTACTTAGATTTCACCAAGTACTCTACTTTCATCGTTTTGTTAGCTATTAACATAACTGATGCAGTTTGAATCCGGAAGCGATAACATGCATACAGTCTGTGTTATGAGTTCGCAGCTGGAAAGAATTTCATTGGTTTTTCCTAAGAAGAGGGATGTTTGATGTAGTATGCGTTACAAAAGATGCAATCCGTGAAGCTTGAGGATAAGCGTGCTCTTCTTGCAATACTTGGCCTCAATCGAAATCATACTGTAGCGCCCACATTATCCTGCTTTGACGGAAAATTTATAAGATTTAAACGTTAATTCACAATTCGTAGCCTGCAAATCTGGTGAATCAAATAATGAGATTCCGAAGTTTAAACACAATTTATGGATTTCATCAAGTACTTTAAATTCCTTGTAAACAAGTCTAGGTTAATTTGGAGTAACAAGCATGTTTGCGCCAATTCCTTTGCTTTAAGATAAGCGGGCTAGATTTGTTCATCTTCAGCAAGAACAAGTTCAAAAGTCGGGTTCAGCTAGAAATATGGAAATAACCGCATGTTTATTATGACTTTGCTTTGGAATAATTTGTAATGATGTTGTCAAATGAAAGACAGAGGGCCCTGGTAGCATTACAAGGATTGATTGACAGACAAGCAGCTAAATTGAAGACTTCAAAGAAAGTCTGATCATATAACTCCTTTGTAAACGCTTTGAACCAGCTAGGAAATTTCGATAAAAGCACTAGCTTCGTTCGCCATACCTATGCTTCACACAAAATCTAACGATCCTGCTAGGCTATGGTGATAAATATTTTCGGAAGTTTTGCTTCGCTTGATGGACGTAGGCGCCGCCGTAGTAAAATGATAACGCAAAAAGTCGTTATAATGTTGGTGCACGGTATCCACAGTATTGCCGTAAATAGAAATAATCCGTGGCTTTTGTCGATCTTAAATAAAACAAGAACAAGCTGTCCATGAGAAGAATTTTCAAACATTTGCTCAAATAAAATATGGTACATACCGCACCCATATGAAAATCAAAAATTGAAGAACCTCCAAGTGCTGACATGAGACATCCTCCATGAATCAAAATGTTCGTTTCCTTGCGTTTTCTGCAAATCTACTGATGTAACTTTGGTTTTGTATAAAAATCCTAAGCATTCGAACACTACTCCATAATATCAAATTTGATAACTACGAAGGGAAAGCTAAGACTTACGCTTTTTTCTGTATCATCCAAAACATATATATGTAAGCGAAAAAAGAAATCGCAAATGCGGAAGTTCGAAAAGTCATTTTTATGACGGAAATGACCTGAAATCTTAGCTGTTTTGATGTTGTTTTCATTTATCATCTTACCTGGTCAAAATCTGGTCTAGTGGCTGTCAAAAACATTGGAATACTTCCCATTTCATACTGATGGTCATAAAGTAAATAAAGAGGAATCACTATCGTAGTAGGAAGAAAAGTCTGTAGAAGAAGTATCTCCTTTTTTCCCATTCGTTCGGCCACCTGCAAATTATTGGTTTAAGTCAAGTCTTAGAATAAATTCTAAACTTCTCTAAAATTTAGCTGCGCGCTTCTAACAGCGCTGTTTGTGTTAGCTATGTGATAGCTATTGAGTTGATTGATAAATGAGTTTTGCAACATGAATAATTCTTTTGAAAAGTGTTTCGTAGAGTAAATTTCAAAAAATGCCTCAAACTATCCCAACCTCATTTTTTTCCTCCTGCTAGCAATTATGACAAAAGTTTGTCTGAACAAACGCTATAATATCTATCTTTCTGTAGTTTCGAGGGTTTTTTGAAACTTTCTCGAGCTTTACTGACCGTCATACAGGGCAAATTTTGCAGATCAAACCAACACTTGTTTTCGCAGCTGGCTTTCACAATTTTTTTAGATAATTTTTCTTGGGTTGCCTGGAATCTAATAATGATTGCAACAAACACCGAAGAATCTCTTACTTTGAGATTTCAAAACTGCATCAATTTTCCTGTAAAGCTTACGAAGGGAATGAACACTTATTGCTATAAAGTGTGAAGGTTTTGGATGTTGGAGTAGAACAATCTCGACAAAGTACGACAGTCGAATTTTTGGCACTAAAGCAGATTTGATTTCTTTTCAACTTACGATTTTTTTCATTAGGCGTAGCAGTCAACATCTAGCAATATCTTGCCCACAATTTTGGCTCCTTACACTTAAATTATGTTGTGCACTGGTTCATTTTTGCATGGAGACCTTACCAGAATTCACCTGGTTTTAAAGAGCGTAAGATTTTCTTTTTTGTGTTCAAGAATAAAAGCATGAACACATTTGCAGTTTACAGCACGATTTAAGTAATGCCAAAATTTGAGTGTGACAGATCGGAAAAACGGAAACGTTATGAGAGTTGTTGCACTCATCAATTAAATTAGAAGTACCACACAACTTTCGAAGCCTCTTCCGAAGGTATATTTATCAACATTATCGCATCGCATATGATTTGACTAGCTGTCATACCCGGCTCCTCCCGGTCTGTTAACTATAATGAGGATTGCCATTTCTGACTTTTGCACATTTCTCTGTCCCTTTTCCAGTTCCATAGTTCCCTGTTTCCTATTTTCGTAATTCAATTAGCACGCTCAATTGGACCTCATCGCCAACACCCAGCCCTGTGCCCTGTAGCTCAAGATTTGCAAAAAATTGATAAAAGTGATAAAAATAGTTGATAAATCTGAAAACTAATATTTGATTCGTAATCAGCATGCTCACTTACGTGTCATCTCCCAGCCCTCAGATCAAAATTTGCGAATAATCCATAAAATCGATGTCGATCGATAACGAAAAATCGCCTACGATAAAAATCGCCCCTCCCTGAAGTGTAAGCATGCCAAGGGTTTCCGGTTCGGTTCAGAAAGAAAATTTTCTATCCGGAACATACGTACAGACATGCACACAACAAACGAACTGCCAGCTTTATATATAAGGTAAAGGCGTAGCTCTGCTGATGTTTAAGGTGGCGATAATCAATGACTACATCGAGGCAACAGTTAACGAACATCATAATTGTGGTAACGGGCTGAGAGTATTTATATGACTTTGTATCTGTGTGTGTCTATTGCAAATTCGTAGAAAATGTTCCAGCCAACGACCTGATCCCAAATTTTGCATAGTGCACACACCAGCGTGAAAGTCCACCATGCAAAAGCTCGAGAGGATCATCCATTAATTTTGCGTCAAACGGATCCATTTGGCTTCTGACCAGCAAAGGTCTGCGCTACCACTTTTTGCAAACATGGACATGTTTGGCGAGTGAATGTGCATGCCATGAACTCTGACTCATAAAAGTGGTCAAAAGTCCATTACTTTACGAAAAAAGGCACCAAGAAAGGTTTGCTGCTCAAATGACTTGGAGTTTTATTTAAGCATTTGGGAAGATTTTATGAAGATTTGGCTTACGGCGGTTGTTGTTCTCATGGCGACTACAAAGTCTTGAAAAGTAAAAACGGATCCAGATTTGCATTTTTTTGCGAAAGTTTCATCTACGCAAAGTTACCGATCTCACATGGAAAGGCATTCAGGTGAATAGTTGGTTACAATTTGTTCGGTATAGTCAGCTCTGCGCGGTGAGGTTCATTGTGCGAGAACGAGTAAAGCATATAAATAGTAGAGCCTGTGTGAGTCTCTGCGAGGCAAGGTGACGCGCTGGTTGAAGCACGATGAAGCATCATATCTCAATGGATCAAATTTCCGATACTTTCGTGCTTGACTGCCTCCACCGCATTTGATCAAGTTTGCGGTTCTGCAAGGAGGGCAAGCTTTAAGCGAGAAGACGAGCAAAACGCAAGCAACGTAAACTCTAAAGCTCGCCATTTTTTGCATGGCATTGAGTTGAGTACCCCGACCCCCAACCCCTGTTTTTGCCGCCGATAAAATTTAGTGTGGGCGTTGGTTTGGGACTAAGAAATTGGACTTGTAGCCTAACGCCCTCAACATGTCCACGTGAGGGTCATAATTTCGCGTAGAGATGTTGAGTGTTTGTCATTTTTCAAGGCTGAGAAAATCATTGAACAAGCTTACGTACCGCAAAAATCGGACTCCATACTGGTTGATCTAAAGTTTGAGAGAAGAATTAATTGTTGGAAGAATTCCAAGCAAAGTAATTTTGGGTTGAATGTCCGTGTTTCATCTTTTTGGGCTTTCATTTCAATTAATAGAAGAGTAAATGTGATGAGCAATGGCTGCTTCAAAGAGCGTGTAAATTGTGCTTCAACACCGTCCACCCATATTCTCGACTTACATCATTGATAGTTCCGGGGCCCTCTCATTTCTCTGACCGAATATGAAGTTGAGAATCCGCGAAGACCCCAACATTCTCCGTTCCGGAGAACCCACAAGCCGGCTTTCTGGAACGGTGATTGGCTAGACGCGCACGGATGGGCGGGCATGGATGAAGAGGGCGGTGCCGTCTGGGTGTCCTCATGATTTTTGTTACTCCGTAGCGATATTCTAGCTCGAAGCGACATTTTGCGCCGCGACTTGGGCATTGGCTTGATATAGGGCCCTACTTTTATATGCTGCCAAAAGCTCAAGGCCCTCAACTTGGATGGACGGTGCCTTTAAGGGTGCATGCATACATACAAATACGTTGAAAAGAGGAACTCGACTGTAGCCTTCTCTACACATAAGTTTTCGAGCTGAACAGTATGTACCTGATTATAATATTTGCCACTTATCATTATTACATCACATGGCACTTACCTGGGTGATTATCGACTCCGGTAAACAAACGATACAAAAGCGACCTCCTACTGTGATGAATACGTTCATGATGTGAATATACAGAAGATGCTCTTGAGTAATTTGTGCAAATTTGGTCCACCATAGGTGGCGATTGAGATAAACGAAGACAGGAAACGTTATGGAGAAAAATCTTCCATACATAGTTAATAGAAAAAATACGAGAGTAAACAAATCAACAAAACCCTAAATGACCGATACCCATAGCATGAGCAGATTTGTTATGAATGCCATACAGGCAAAGCGTTGTACCTCATTCCAGCAACATCGATAGAAGAAAGATCTAAAACGCCTCGACTTTCGATTTTGCCACATGATCATCAATACCACACTGCATAGTACAATACAAAGCAGCGATATGACGCCCACTAAGAAAACAGCGAAATTTGGCATCTGAAAAGCAAAAAATGAAAGTGTGATCGCTTGATTTCTAAGGAAAGAGTGGCGCTTTAATTATGTTTCACTAGCTAACTTTAAGATATTCCGTTTTCTGTCCCTGTTATTACATAAGCTGTCTGGTTGCGCGCAGAGCGCACGCTTAGTAATGTCGTCTACCAAGGTAGTGCTAAATACGGTAGCGGGGTCTGGGCAAATTATTATCCGTGGGGGCATCAAGTGCACTGTCGCTTAGGCAGCGTCTTAGTTAGGCGGCCAAGGTCAGATTTTAAGTGCGGTCCCCATGTGCCTAAATCTGCCTAGACGCTGCCTTCAAGAACAAATCGGGTCGCTCAAAAATAAAGCTTTCATTGAACATACACAAATATATGGACACATCCTCACATACATACACTGAGCTTAATATGTAAGACTAGCTGACTTACCCGGCTCCGCCCGGCTTTGTCAAAAACGACGAAGGTTCCATTCCTATCCCTGTACAACCTTTCCCTGTGCCCACTTCTACATGCAATTCCCTATTCCCGCTGTGTTATTAATCAGTATGCTCACCTACCCTCCTCACCAATTCCCAGCAACGCAGCTCAAACTTTGCAAAAAAAATCAATGGAATCGATAAAACCTAATGGATAGTTCCAAAAACTAATATTGTATTCGTAATCAGCATGCTTGGTCACCCCTCCCCCTCCCCCGTGACAACTCTCAGCCACGTAGCTCAGACTTTGCAAAAAAAATTGATAAAATCGATATCTATTGGTGACGAAAAGTAGCCTATGACACCCTCCCGGCCCCGAAGTGTATGTGTGCCAAGTTTGGTCTGGATCGGTTCAAAAATGGAATTTTCTTCGGAAGATACGTACATACAGACAGATAAACAAACAGACAAACAGACATTCACTTTATATATAAGATATGAAAGCCGTTATGAACCACAGGCGTGTTTAGCGTCTTATGCATACATCCACAACTACGAATATCACTAAACGATCGCAGTTTTAAGTCGATTACCTGACTTTTTACATTTATCATCCTCGCTAGGTTTCTATTTGTAGTTCGTAAAAGAAGCGAAGAGTTCCAGGAAATTTGAGATTATCGCAACTAATCGGAAACAATCTTTACTAAACAGCCAATTTACAGATTGCCATTCAAGAAAGGAAATGCGTCTCTCAGCAGAAAAAAACTTTCGGTCTTTCAATGTCTGCTGCATAGTTTATGTGTTCTCAGAAATGTAGAAAATGAGAAGTAGAGACACGTAGCTACAATGGCAGTTCCTTTAAAAGAACCCCTACATTTGATGATTATGTGTGCTGTCCATTAGGGGAGCTAGAATCTTTATTGCAGAGAGTCTTCAAACCACGAGCAATTCTCGAACCCTTAGAAAGTATGCTTTATCTAGCCCATGCAGTCGGATAAGACTGAGGCGAAAACGTTGATGCAAAGTCGGTTAAACAGCGGCAGCTTCACTTCATCTTCAAAAAAAAAAACCATGCTTTCCCTGCATAGATTTATGCAGTGGCTGTACACAAACTCCTATAAAGGAGAAGGGCGCTATCAAAAAGCATCGATTGCAAGAGAAACTCAAAGTCATTATATACAGTGATCAATTTTCATCGCTTTCTCGACTGGAAAACAACGATGAAATGGTTTGATTGCATGAGGTAGTAGAGCTTTTCAAGGGTTACAAATCACACTATCCACTTTTTAGAATCATGATTTCTAAAATATAGAACTCTTTTACAAAGTCCAAAATGGCCTCAATGGTCACAACGCCGCTCAAAACAATTTTCGAACGTGAAAAATTTTTCCTGGTTCTTTTTGAACCAAAAACACGAGTTATCCAAACAGGCAAGCATAATGTATATTGAGCTCATCGAAGACTACATTCTGGCTTTTATTACTTCTTAAAAAATGCATGCTCGAATTTTGGTTTGCACTAGCTGGGCTGATTCGCTCGGTTCCTATCAACTCTTTCTAACCAAGCTTAAACTCACGTCCCACTTCTACACAACATCTCCCTGTCCCTACCTCACTTTTATAAGTCAAATTCTGCACTCTGTTCTTAGTAAGCATGCTCACTTCCTTTTGTGACGACTCCCAGTCTTGGGGCTCCCCGAAGTGTATCTGTGTAAAGTTTGGTCCGGGCCTCTTCAAAGTAAAATTTTCTATTCGGAACATGCATCAGTCAGACAAGCAAGCACACAAACCACAGACAGTCATTCAACCCCATGTAAAAAATTTCTCAAAAAATAATTTCTAATTTCCTGTTTCTAACCAAATTTTTCACATGGAACCGATTAAACATCCTAACAAAGCTGTCTGAATAATATGAATGCGCTTCATCATTCTCTATGCATCCGAGGCGTGCCGATGAGTTTCTTTGCTAAAAATGGCTCCTGATTGTACGTGTACGTGATCTCTCCTGCACAGGGCCTGGCACCAGCTGGCACGGGGCAAGCTGGATATCGTTTTTGGGGCAAAAAGCAAAGGGGGTTTCGTTTTTGTGGGTGAAGACATACGCAAAATTGGCGACGACGACCTTTTTTTTTTTTTTTTTTTAGTCGACGTTTCGTTTTTTGGGGGATTTTGGGGATTTTTTTAGGATTTTAGAGGGGATATCGTTGAGGATCAAAGGGGACTTCGTAAAATTTCCCAAAAGTCAAGGGGGACTTCGTAAAAATTGGCAAATTTCAAAGGGGACTTCGTTTTCAAAATTCCCTGGTGCCAGCTCGTGCCGAGCCCTGCTCCTGCATCTCTCCATCAACTTTTACCGCTTTGCAGAATTGTAACTAGCACAGTTTATGAGCCTGTTTGTGGGTTCGTTCGAAAGTTCCAGGACACGATGATGTGCACTAGAGGTAAGTCTAACAACAAGAAGTCCTAGAATTTTTGAAAATGGTTTAAAAAAGCACAGCCACTATAATGTTTGAAGTGCATGCTTAGGCCTGTCATCGACACCAAAGCGCAATAGAACTTCGAAATGGAATTCTCAAAAGTTGTCAGTTCCGATCTTCCAGGATAAAAATGGTGACCGAGGGAGCTCTACTTAATCTTTAAAAAAATGTCAAGATTACCATTGAGGCTGTGCTCTTTCAATTCTCAAAATTTGCAGAATTTAAGCTTACTTCTATTGCACATCATCGTGTCCTCGCTCTTTCGAACAAGCGCCCAGGCTCATAAATTGACTGCTGGGCAAGCTACAAGCCTGCAAACGGTACTAGTCAGTGGAGAGGTGCATGGGAGGTTATGGGCATATACTACCAAGAGCCACTTTCAGCAAAGAAACTCATCAACACGCGTTTGTTGCATAGAGTATAGTGAAAAACATCCAATTCATTCAGATAACTTTGTCAGGATGTTTTGAATCGTTTTACAAGTGAAGAAACTCGGTTGTAATAAGGAAGTTAGCAATTTAGTGATTAGTCTTATGTATGAAATGTCTGTTTATCTGTATACATAGATGCGATAGGTGGAGAAATTTCTCTGACCCCCTTCACTTTAGGGCGGGCATCTGGTTGACCCCTTTCACCTGAGGTTGAGACTAGAATCAAGGCATAACGGCAGAATCAACAGCTGCTACAACGGCATTTTTGTTTGGAAAAGAAACGCCAGCTGCTCTTCTCTTTAGACATCAAGATTGTAAGAGAGTATCGAAGCAACAGCGATTTGCTGAAAAATGCATACTTGAGATCTTCTGCGCACTCAAAGTGGCTTTGATAACGAAACATAATCAAAAATCAAAAGCAGTCTGATTTTTTTTGAATAATTAACATTGTATCAATGAATACACTGTAGCAAAAAAGAGTTGAGCAAGAGTAGAAAATCTGAACTAGCTAGTGATGGATGCATGTTTACTCACAAGAATTGTACCATATCTCGTTTCACTAGAGAGATTAACAAATAAAAGTGCAGTTAGATTACCCGTTATTCAAGCTTTCGAATCATATATGAAGATTCGAAAAAGATCTTGGTTTGAAAAGATAATTACCCAGAATTGACTGATATTGTAGGTAGATAAAACTGCTCAAATAGACGGTCTATGTCGTTTCCTCGTGCTCTTAGCTATCGTGGTATACAAAATTGTTAGGGCACAAAGCTTTCCCAATCCAAAAAAGTCTTGCTCCGGCGACCTATAGAAAGCCGGAGCGGGGTAGAGCAAGTTAGTGTTGAAAATCTACACTTCATTTTTGAAAAACCACAAGTTTTTCGCCCAACAACCTATATACCATTAGAAAGCCCACGAATAAGGGCTTCGACAGAGACCGTCTCTTCTCCTCTGGCTCCCCTCTATGTAGAGATACATGGTATTTTAGCTAAAAACATGTGGGTTTTCAAGAAGAAATTTTTATTTTATGCAAAGAGTGATTGAAAATGCCCAGTTTTCTAACCGTTTTACAGAGCAAGACTTCGCCAGTAAACGTAGACCGTCTCTTTTTTTCTAGCTTTCCTCTTTCCTTGAGAAATGGAGGACAAGAGATTGCATAATATCAGCTGATGCTGAAGCTAGATATGACTTTCATACTTTTTTACTTTTTTTATATCTGAATTCACAGGAGAGCTGGAAAAAAGAGACGGTCTATATTGATTCTGTATGCTCCAGGCTTTCAAATGGTATGTCGACTGATGAAACATAATGCTTT